AATTGTCCCAGTCGACAGATAGGTATATTGAGGCTAAGTTAAGTAATTTATAATTTAAGATTTATGCTAACTCTATTATGCCATATGAAACTGCTTCATAATATACAGTGACTCCCAAACTTGTTTTTTCCTTTCCATATCTACTACTTACATAATTTAGGTGTAATTCTCTCCATCCTAAATTAGTAAAACAGTTTATTTTGTATGACCATACCTTTGCTATTTCTCTACACTATATATTCTGGTCATTGTTATCATTCTCTCTTGCATTGCATTCTAATACATTATAAAATGGACAAAGAGATTCCCAAATGCCAAAAGATGTTTTACATGCTGTCTTTTGGTATTTATTACTATGGAATAATATCCAAGGTTCTGTTAAATTTGGTTTTGTTTGAAAGTGTCTTTTTCTAATTGGATATTTGTAGAAATTCATCTACATTTGTATGAGTCTATGTCTAATCATTGAAATGTTTTTGTCTGTTTTCAGTTACTTGTGTTTGTTTATCATTCTCTTCTCTCCTTCCAAAACTCGTATAACAAGTTTATTTTAACTACTGCATTTGCTTCTATTTTGCTAATATTTTCTCATTTTAATTTTTGAAAAGTGGCAAAAGGAGGGAATGAGATAACATAAAATTAATAAAGTAAGAATTTGTCTTAAGAAATGAGAAAAAATCACTATAAACATAAAGTAAGAGAAATAACATAATAAAATTTTGAATATAACTCAATGAAATAGAAAGCAGAAGTACAATAGAGGGTTTTAACAAAGCCAAAAGTTGGCTTGCTAAAAAAATAATATCAACAAACTTTCAGCAAGAGTAATAAAAACAAAATCAACCTAAATTTTAAAAAACATATTCAAATAGTGCACTGGTCTTTACTACCTAATGTCTGTCTTCTTTCAATTCTTCCCTTAAGATGAAAACATTTAACAACTACTTCTGCTCAATAAAATGTAACTATACTATGGGGTCTAAATTTATTCTTAATTTAAACCTATAATTGGGACTAAAATATGGAAGCTAAACATTGTAGAATAAAATTTGTCAAATAAAGAAGGAAAAAAAAGGTCTTTTAGTTTCTGCTTTAAAACCATCTGGAGGAAAATGCATTTATTTAGGAGATACAAATTTCAGAACAATAAACCTTTGTTGAGTGTACCAGTGAAACACCTGAAAACCTTCTCTCTCAAGTTTCTAAAGAGAAGTCTCTGGCAAAGCTTCAGGAAAGATTGAAACCATCTATTTGTATGTTAAGTAAGATTCATATTACAATTGTATGAGTCAAAATATCTGAGAACTACAACAATAAAAGATTTTATGGATGAAGATGTTGTTCTGTATATGTGTGTAGCTGTATGTGTGTGTGTTTGGGTAATAGTATAGAGCAGCAAGGCAAAACAAAGACTACACCATGCCATGCATTAGTACATGCAAAGGATGCTGGTATTTGTGAATTCTCTATTTTCAGATTTTAAAAAAGTAATGTGTGTTTCCGAATTTTAAAGATATATTCCTAGTAGTGGGCTCACTAGCAATTCCATATTTAATTTTTTTTGAGGAAACTTCATACTGTTTTCCAGTGGCTATGTACCAGTCTGTATTCCCAACAACAGTGTACTGTACTACAGTTCCCTTTTCTCCACATCCTCACCAGCACTTTGTCCTTTGTTGTTTTGTTGATGGTAGCCACTCTAACAGGTGTGAGGTGATACCTCATTGTCTTTGTTTTAATTTGCATCTCTATGATGATTAGTGATCTGGAGCATTTTTTTCATATGTCTCTTGGCCATCTGTATGTCCTCTTTGGAGAAGTATCTATATATATCCTTTTCCTATTTTTAAGTTGGATTGTTTGTCTTCCTTTTGTTAAGATGTATGAGTTCTTTACATATTTTGGAAATTAACCCCTTATCAGATGTATCATTGGAAAATTTCTTCTCCCGTACAGTGGGCCTTTTCATTTTTTTTGGTTTCTTTTGTTTGCAGAAGATTTTTATTTCGATGTAGTCCCATATTTTATTTTATCCTTAGTTTCCTTTGCCCTAGGAGATGTATCAGCAAACATATTGCTACAAGAGATACCTGAAAGTTGCTGCCTATGGTTTCTTTGGGGATGTTTCTAGTTTCATGACTTACATTTAACTATTTTATCCATTTTCAGTTTATTCTTATGTATGGTGTAAGTTGGTGGTCTATTTCACTTTTTTTATGTACCTGTCCAATTTTTCCAGCAACATTTATTGAAGAGACTGTCTTTACTCCATTGTATGCTATTGCCTCCTTTGTCAAATATTGATTGTAATGTCTTGGGTCAATTTATGCATTCTCTGTCCTGTTCCATTGATCCACATTCCTGTTCCTGTGCCAGTATCAGCTTGTTTTGATTACAGTGGCTTTGTAGTATAACTTGATATCTGGTACTGTGATCCCTCCAACTTTGTTCTTTCTCAACATTGTTGTGGCTATTCAGGGCCTTTTTTTGTTCCAAATAAATTTTTGGAGTATTTGTTCTAGATCTGTAAAATATATTGTTGGTATTTTAATAGGGATTGCATTGAATCCATATATTACTTTGGGTAGTATGGACATTTTAATGATGTTAATTCTATCAATCAATGAACACGGTATATTCTTCTACTTATTTATATCTTTCTCTATCTCTTTCTCCAATGTCCTTTAGTTTTCTAAGAAAAGGATTGTAGAATCTCAGAGGAAAAGTGGGGGTGTGGTGAGCAAAGATTAACCAAATAATTTATATGCATAACCCATGGACACAGACAATAGTGTGGTAAAGGCCTGGGAGGGAGCGGGGTAGTGGGAGCAGGTTGCAGGGAATCAATGAGGAAAAAGGGAGACATATATGGTACTTTCAACAATAAAATCAATTTAAAAACAAGGCTATTATGAACATTCATGTACAAAAAGAATAATGTATGTGTGCAATTATTTCTTTACCTCACCAACAATATATTCACTAGTTACCCCTTTCTTCCATGATGTCTTTGGCACACTTAAGACAACATCCATTTACTTAAAATAAACAATTTCATTTAATTGCATTTGGAATATTCATGGGGAAAACTTTGTAATAACTTGCTTAATTTCACCTTTGATAGCAGTGCACATAACCATTTTCATGCTTACTACTCATCATTACACAAAAAGTTTAGCATTTGCATGCACCATTAAAGAAGGAAGGTAAAAAATGTTTCACATTTTATGGGCACCAAAGTCATGATTTTCAGTTGTCCTTGCACCAAAGAAATCTGTGCTGTTTAAGCAATACAACCTTCTGTACTGGGGGAGAGACGGGGGTTGGGGGGGGGGTCTTGCTTATATGAAGACTTCTGCCCTGCAAAGACAACAGTGCATGCTTATTTTACTGAGGTTCTTTCTCCTGTGCCATCTAAAGGTGAAGAACATATTACACTGACTTTTTAAAAAGCTGATATTTATATTTTGTGTGTATGTACAAATGCATGCGTGTGTATGTGTGTGTGTGTGTGTGTGAGAGAGAGAGCGAGAGAGAGAGAGAGAGAGAGAGATTAACAGTGAGATTAATATAAAATATGTGACCCCCTAACACATTAATTCCAGAGCATGGGTGATGAATTAAAAATGACATTTCAATGGTATAGAAACATTACCTCCTTTACTCTTTTTTGCTGTTACTTTTATTTATTTATTTATTTATTTATTTATTTATTTTTATTTTTTGCCACACATTGAATCAGAAAGAGATTCTGCAGAGAGGAAAAAAAGAAAAACAAACAAAAATCTATGACTTAAATAGAGCTGAAGTATTAACAGAAGTGATATGAGCATTAAAAAATCATGTTTTGTGACTATCAGCAATACTAAATATTTTAATGTAAAAATATTTATTTTATATTTCATATGAAATTTACTCAGTATAAGTGAATTTTGGAGCCTGGGCATTAAGCAGAGCTCAATTAAATATGCTTGCAAAAATAGACATTCATTTCTTAAGAAAGACATTTCTGCCCTAACCGGTTTGGCTCAGTGGATAGAGCATCGGCCTGCGGACTCAAGGGTCCCAGGTTTGATTCCGGTGAAGGGCATGTACCTTGGTTGCGGGCACATACCCAGTAGGGAGTGTGCAGGAGGCAGCTGAATCGATGTTTCTCTCTCATCGATGTTTCTAACTCTCTATACCTCTCCCTTCCTATCTGTAAAAAATCAATAAAATATATTTTTAAAAAAAGAAAAGAAAGACATTTCTCTTCTATAAAAAACAAAATAAAGACAAACACTCATTAATTCCTCCAAACCAGATTGAAATTCAAAATAGAAATTTGGAAAAATAAAAAATGTACTTGATAGCTAAATTTGTCATAAATCTTGCTTACTTGTTTAATGAGCATGGTTATTTCAATTAGAAAGCATGCTGGATATCATGACGTAACCATGACCCAGATATGTGAGGCTGATTTTTAAATGCCTCCAGCTGTCTCTAATTAATGCACATCCTTCACCTTGAAATTTGAAAACAAGTGTAACATCAAGGGTGTCATTAGTGTTAAGAGTATAAATATAACATCATTAAATGGTACCTGAGGAAAATCTATCTAAATGTCACTTACCTTAAAAAGTTTTTAAAAATCAAATAGTTTTATATATATAT